TATTCCCATATTCATATTACCCAGTATGAGCTTAGGGTTTTAGGATGCCATAGTATGTGTATGTGTTTGTAATACGTAATTTGAAATGCATGTATATGTGTATGTATGAAAAGTTTCTTAAACTATTTAGATACAATTTGGTTCCGACCTACAGTTCTAGAAAAGAACCCTTGTTAGAAGTGAATCAATGCCAACTCTTCAAGCTACAAGAAAAACACCCCAAGGTCAATGGATTTTGAGCCTCTTTCTTGCAAGTGATGAGGTATGTAGTTAAGCAATGTAGCTCTGAAGGTGACAGATGTATTTTCTGTAGAACATTCTTTTCTATTGGGCAAAGAGATCTTATCTCGTTGGTTCTCAATCTTTTAGAAATCAACATCAATGAGTAAACTTAAATACAATTAGATGTTTAGGTCCAAAAGATATGAATTCAATTGATCTGGGTTTTGGTCCACAATTTAGCTTTTAAAAAAAGCATCACAGCTGATATGAAGTGAGAGGAAATGCACAAGAATACCCAACTTTGCAGATAGTACCCATTTAACTTAGTCTCGATGGCTTCATAATCAGAACTCAACTAGAGAAAGAAAAAAAAAAAAAAAAACAATTTTTGAAAAAGGAAATGAGGGTAAATTGCTACAATTTGATGAACTTGACCTATACTTATGTATATGGTGGTGGTGGTTATGTGCTGTGGAGTTGGTTCTGATTCATAGTGACCCTGTACAGGGTTTCCCAGGCTGTAAATCTTTATGGGAGCAGAAAGCCTCATCTTTCTCTCACGTTAACAGTTGATAGTTTTGAGCTGCTGACCTTGAGGTTTGCAGCCTGATTCATAACCACTATGCTACCAGATACTTATGGATGTAGTAGCCCAAAATACCAACAGAGAGGGAAGGAGTCTTCAAGTGTCAATGCTCTCTCCTCTGTATATAGAGTAGATACGGACGGGCAACTTAGACATTGGCTACCTAAAATGAGGGAGCAATAAAGGCACCAAGTGACTGGCTTACAAGGTTTTAAGAGGGAGTTTAATTTAACAGTGTGCAGGAGAAGATAGAGTCCCCACTGAGTAATTTTCATCTTGTCTAGATAGGTCTGGTGAAAAGAGATGGGGATAAGATTCTTATGATTCATTAGAGAGTAATTGTTATAATGACTAATTGAAATTGTCACAACTGTAAAGGTAGAAGTTTTGTAACAAAAATGGGAGAGTAGTTAATCTTACAGTCCAGAAAGAGAGGACTCTAGGACCATCAAGATAGAAGAGCACAAGCGGAATGCAGGACCCTATCCAGAGAAGCAGTGACACCAGAGATGGAGGCAGAGATGGGACATGGAGAGAAGAAGCAGCTGAGGATTTTAGATTCATGGAAAGAGAGGGACTGAGTGCTGGCAGCCAGGAGGCAGAATTACAGAATGTGCTCTTTGGTGGTTTAAATAATTATTACATATTCCTGACTGTGTTTGTGTACATCTCCCCCCCCCACCCCCCCCCCCCCCACCCCACCCCACCCCAAAAAGAAAAAAAAAAAAGTAAAACAGTTAATGGAAACAAATACTGTTGAATAATGATGCATGGAGGAGATTGTAATCATTGCAATGAAACAATGGTGCAAAGCCAATTTTCTCCCATGTAAACTATCACTCAGTTCACAATAAAAAATAAAAATAAAATAATAATAATAAAGCTTCACAGGTGATTCTAATATGCAACAAGGGTTGAGAAACTTTTCCCCAATTGCTCATAATTACATAGGATAACCAAATCTGTGTCACTTTGGGATTTAGGCTTATATATAGTGAAGAGTTGAGATCTAAACTCACTTAGAATTTTTGCCAAGGAACTTATAGGAATGAACTCAGAGATGCTTTAAGGATTTTATACACAGACAACAAATTATTGGAGTCCTAGATTCGCACAAACAGTTAAGTGTTTGATTACTAGCAGAAAGGATGGCAGTTTGAACTCACCAACTGCGTGTACTGTTGTTTAGTGCTGTTGAGTTGGTTCTGATTCATAGAGAACTTGTATAGGGTTTCTGAGGAGCAGCTGGTGAGCTGGAACTGCTGACCTTAAGGTTCAAACTGACTTTGCAGTCCAGCGCATTAACCCACAACACTACACTAGAATTAACCAGAAGTACCTTGAAATATAGGTCTGGTAATCTGCTCCTCAAAGACTGCAGTCTTGAAATCACTATGAAAAAGTTCTTCTCTGTACACACAGGGTCACCATGAGCCGGAATCAAACTGATGACAAGTAACAACAGATGCATACAACTTTTGCCTGTAGTCTGTAACAGACACAACATTTAGTGAAGAGGAAGGAAAGAAGGAGAATATTCTGACTAAAAAATATTTGGAAAGCCCAAATAATAAAAGAATATATGAAAAAGTAGATCAAGAATATATATGAAAAGGACTGAAAAGGTACAGAGAAGAATTTTTTAAATTGTAGAAAGAAAGGAAGGAGAAAAGATGCACAACTTAAAATGTTAGTCAATTCTTTATTAATTTATGTAGCTTTCCATATCCTATCCAATTCCATACCTAAGTTTGTGGCCAATTTTAAGACTAGATATTCAGTTCTCTCTTCTGAATTAATTTCCATCTCATGAGAAAAAAAATCATTTTAAGGATGAATTGTAATCTTGACATGTATTTGTTACATTTATTATTTCTGATAGTTTTTACATGATAGAAATTTACCTTCAGAAGGCATTTCAAAGATAGAAACAAAGACAGAACAATTAAGTACAAAACAAAAGCAAAACCTTTATTCTTTTGGCTTGATTGTAATGTGGTTTACCGTTCTTTATGGTAATAGCATTTTCCTGCATGCATTTCACCAACACACTACAAGTCAATAGCTTTATTATAAAGAATCTACATTTAATGTTGCTTGTGAAAGAAACACAAAATGTTTCGCTGTAACTAGTAATATGATTTGCCTACCTGGTTTTGTGAGGGGAGAAAAAGCATGAATTCCATGTTGTATCTGGTACAATTCTAATGCCATATGGGTCAGTAAGAAAAAGAGCTATCTGTGTTAACAAACATTGGAAGAAACTGATGATTTATTGATTAAAACAACAAATGACTAGGTGGAAGCATAATATTCAAGCAATACCACATATACCAACTAATCTTTCCTTAAGCCTCTTTTGATATTACTATTTAAAAAGAAGGTATTACTATTTGAAAGCAAATAAACATTGGACTTAGTCTGAGATTCGTTTCACATGGAAATGTGTGCAAGTTTACAGTACTAATAAAAAAGCAGAAACCTACTCCATATCTTTGTCTTTGCTTTTTTGTGTGAAGTGCTTTAATTTAAAAGTGCTAGGAACAGAAACTAACAATAGTGACTGTGACATCAACCTGAAGATACTTTAAATTTCTCATTTTATGTACAAAAGGCTGAAAAATAAAATAAAATGAACTTTTTACAGTATTTATATTTTCTTAGAAAACTCTAACCATATATTTTCAACAGATTTAAGCAGCTTGCAACGAGTTTGTACAATCAGGCTCTTCAACATAGTGTTCAATTTAAAATTGGAAGAATAAAAAGCAAGAAGCTCTTCATTGATTGCTGCAACCTATTGCTTGATGACATGAAGAATGAGGTCTTAGTTGAACAATTTGTTTTACTTTACCACTGACATATGGCTTCCCATATTAGACTTATGAACAGTGGAAGAAATACAGCAGCATAGGCAAGATAAACATGCAGCAGTGATAGCTTCAAACTATAATGGAACCAATCACATCATATTACCTGTTGAAAACTTGCAAACTATACTTACTGTGGTACATATTTGATGCAATAAATACTGTGCTTAAGTCATCATTTTTGTTTGCTCAAACATGCACCACTGGGTAAAATTACTATTTACAAAGCAGATTTTTTTTTAAATTAATTGACATATATTATGTCAATCTTAGCAAGAGCAGAAGATGGCTAAACAATACTGCAGGAAAAAAGCAGAATCGACTTTAAAAAGTGGTGGTAAGGATGATTTTTGGTCAATTCAGGTTCTTAGGAAGGACTAAGACGTTATTTTTATTTTATGCCAAAGGACACTTATCAAAAGTGTTATATTCATGCTGCCGGGACTCAGAATGACTATGTAATGGTTTGTATGTATCTGGGTTTATGCATGTGTGTATACATATATATGTATATACACACATATACATATATACATATATACATGTACATATAATGGATTATGTAAAAATAAAACAACTCTTTAATGTTATGAACTCTATGGAGCATGTACAGGCACATTAATTTTTTTTCTGGATGAAACACCTTAAAAATATGATTAGCTATTTAAGCACCTCAAAAATCTAAAAACATCCTGAAACAAGAAGTAAATTCTTTCCTTTTTGTGATGTCTTTTTTTTTTTAATGTGTGAACAAGAAGTGCAGCATGCCTTCATTTAAAATATATCCAGTTATACAATAGAGAAATGTAGAATTCCCTCCCTTTAATCCCTCACCCCAAACATAAACCCATTTACAAAAATAGTCACATATAATAGTAAACAACCTGTGAATTAAAAAATAAAAGGTGATAAATTCACATCACACATTTTGTAGAAATATGGCAGATGTGGCAGTTAAATCATAAACAGTGACTACAATTACTATTATCAAGTGTCACAAGTTGAGTTGACATAAAAATTTAACTTCCCTCCCCCCTTTAAACTGATTCCTATAGTCTCAGTAGCCATGAAATCTCTGCTCATCAGCAGTGTCAGCTGGTTGTGAAAACAGAAACCTCCAGTGGATGCTATTTCTCTGGTTTATTGAGCCCCGGTTTGCTGACCAGAGGTCTCTGTCTTGTTATAGGCACTGACCTTAAGTATACATTTGTAAAAACAGTCAGTTTGGCATAGACCTCCTGTAGGAGTCCTGTTGATACAAATACATCATCATCACAGGCTGTAAACAACTGATCACAAAGTGAAGTATTCCTTGTTTCTTTTTACTTTTTACTTTCCCTGATATCTTTCCCTTTGTCTTCCTTTTCTGATTTGTCTTTTTCAAATTTTTCTTTTTCCGGTTTTGTCACACTATCGTAGGAAGGTGGAGAAGTGGTGGAAGGTGTCACATCGGTTTTCTCTGGTGTTGAATTCTCATTTAGTTTATCAATGAGGATTTCTTCTTTGAGAGGTGTTCCATCACCTTCTTTGCCTTTGTCTTTCTTGTATATACTTGAAACTTTTTTGACTTTCTGCTTCAAGAGGTAACGTCTATAAGCCCTCTGGATAATGGTAGCAGACACTTCCTCTTGTTTGCGTTTCAAGGTGGTTGTTATGGGCTCATAGGAGACTTTGGAGGGATTCGAGGCCATGAATCGCTCTTCCATTTGTATTCGAAGTGCATCCATCTCTCCACTCTCACCCAAAACACGCTTCGTAAAGGCAAATAAAATGTCGAGGCAGTGGATCCGGTCACCACTGACCATGGGGAGATCCATGGCAATGAGCTGGACTTTGTTTGGTTTTGCTATAAGAAGAGGAGGATCCAGGGCAGCTGCAAAATCAGAGAGCTTGGCAAACTCAATAAACTGAGTTGCATCTGGATCAAACTTCTCCCAAACCTCATAGAACATCTCAAAATCATCCTCACTCAGGGGCTCTGCACTTTCTTCAGTAGCAACACTGAAGTTCTCCAGGATGACAGCAATGTACATGTTCACCACAACCAGGAATGAGATGATGATGTAACTGACAAAGAAGAAGATCCCAACAGATGGGTTGCCACAGTCTCCCTTAACAGAACTTCCCGGGTGATCTTTTTCAGGGTCACAGTCAGGTGGTCCACTATTAAGGATAGGTGCTAACAATCCATCCCAGCCAGCAGAGGTGGTAATTTGGAACAGGCAGATCATGCTGTTGCCAAAGGTTTCAAAGTTGAACATGTCATCTATTCCAACTTCCCTCTTAACATAGGCAAAGTTGGACATTCCAAAGATGGCGTAGATGAACATGACCAGGAAGAGCAGGAGGCCAATGTTAAACAAGGCAGGAAGGGACATCATCAAAGCAAACAGCAGTGTTCGGATTCCCTTTGCCCCTTTGATCAGACGCAAGATTCGACCAATCCTGGCAAGTCGGATCACTCGGAACAGGGTAGGGGACACAAAATACTTTTCTATCAGCTCAGCCAGAAACATACCTGTGGAAAACCAGTAAACAACAAAAAGGTGCTAGGTTTAATAGCAGCAAGTGAAAAATTAACATTGATAAGATAAGCAGTGATTAATTTTATAAAATGTGAACATTAGAATTACATCTATTTGTGTGTGTGGGGTGTGTGCATCTGAACTATTTGTTGAAAACTTAAAACAATTTTTTACACATAATTTCATACACAGTAAGCAACTAAAGAAATGACAAAGTGAAGAATGGTCTACTAGACTTTTATTTGAAAGTCGAGAATGAATGAAAGGAACCTTGGTGGTGTAGTGGATTACAAACTGGGCTGCTAAATAAACACAAGGTCAGCAGTTTGAATCTACCGTTCATTCTGCAAGAGCTCCCTTAAAGATGTACAGCCTTGGAAATGCTATACACGGTCACTGTCAGAACTAACTTGATAGCACACATGAACCACCAAAGCAGGATGAATGAGAATGATGAAAAAAAAAAAACATATCCAAAGTTGAAAACATGAAATTTCACGTAACTTTTTTATTCAAATAAAAGCGTCAGTTCTTACCTACAATGGAAAGGATAACTACCACAAAATCAAAAATATTCCATCCGATGGTGAAATAGTAATAACGAAGAGAGATCAACTTTAGCACACATTCTCCAGTGAACAAAACAATGAACACCAGATTAATCCAATATAGAATGTTTGTCATTTCTTGACTTTGGTCATCAGTTTCCACCATCATTGTGACCATGTTGAGGCAGATGAGGATCATGATGCTAATATCAAAGACTTGTTTGGTCACAAAATCAAAGACCATTCCTTGAAATTTGTTCTGTAACAAAGAATGTATAAAGTCAATTTCTCTGATTTTAACATAGTAATACTGAAACAGAATTTATAACAACACATCATATATGCTTATTATTGGAATAAATTTTGGCTATTGGAATAGTCAACTCTTTTTATAAATGTATTTGTTTTATCCATACTATTGGGGATATTAATTAAAATTTATTTTAAAGAACTAATACAAAAATAATCTTCCATGTATTTTCTGTCATTTCCCCACCATTGGCTCCAGGATTCTTTCTTTGTATTTTTTTTTTAACTCTACTCAAAGACACAACATCTTAAATTCCACCTTAAGATGCAGCTAAGAAAGTGTTTTAAAAGTTACAGTTAAAGGACAAAAATGCTTGTGGAAAAACTAGTGTATGCAAGTAAATTCTGACTTTATTTAATGAGGTTGTACCAAGGTTAATTTCTTAGTTTTGATAACTGATTTATGGTTATGTAAAATTTAAGCATAAAGGAAAGCTGGGTGAAGATGATATGGGGAAGTCTGTAGTTCTTCCACAACTCATATATATAAGAATAATACTACCTTTTACAAAAGTTATGGCTTACTATTCAGAAACTTAATCCTTATATTAGCCAATTTGGACCTATTTCTAAGTACTAACTGACCTATGCCTCATCTCATAAATATCAATTTTGGTTATTGATCTTGTTTTGTTCCTTTGTGCCTATATCTGAAAACTATTTAAGACTTCCTAGGGCTTATTTTCATGTAAACTTTCAGATTGCTAAAACTTGGCATTGCAAATGCATTAAATACTAGTTTGTAGAGATTAGTGGTTGTAAAAGTTATAGATTATGAGTGATAAAAGTATGTCGTTCTTACAGCAGGTCGAGGTATGGGTTTTTGTGGTTTCTTTGAACCCAGTTTTTTCATTGCATTGTAGTATTTTTTCTGTTCTTCTGTCATAAAAATGTCTTGACCTCCAAAGTAAAGAAATAGAAGCAAAGCTTGTTAAAACCATCCTCTTTGTTAGTTATAACATCTACTTCAGTAACAGTTAAGCACTCAGATATTAACTAAAAGGTCAGTGGTTTGAACTCACGGAGCAAAAGACCTACCAATCTGCTTACACAGTGAGCAGGAAATCAGGAAACCCTATGGATTTGTTTCATTCAGTCCTATAGTGTTATTTATGAGTCTGGATCAACTCTTTGGGAGGCACACAACAACAAACATGTGAAAATTGGCTCTTACATATTATTCTCATATTGCTGATCTCTATAATTTATGAACATGCATATATTCATTGGAACAATTATGCCATACTAGTCATATTTCTTTAGTGAAAATATCAATATATACTAGCTGAATAATCAATTATATTAAAAATTACAATTGATTGAATCACTCAGAGTAATTTCTAGATTTTACATTCTTTTCTTTTACAAAAAGAAACAGTGTGATATGTATAGTTCACATGTTAGAGCAAAGATGAAGTTTTAGTATACTTATCTTCTTTTTCTGTTGGTTGAAGTTATCTATGATGACACCAATGAAGAGATTCAGAGTAAAGAATGAACCAAAAATAATAAAGATGACAAAATAAAGATACATGTACAGATTGTCTTCATACTTGGGTTGCAATTCTACCTAAAAATATAGGAATGAGTACCATTAGATAAAAATACTTATTTTACAAAATGAACATTGGTGAATTTTCAGTTATAAAATATGTCTAAATTGCTGGGGGATAAAAATATTTCATAAAATCTAAAATGTTTTATTTAAGAGTCTGGCAAGACTCTTCATGACTTGTAAAAATAAAATGACTCACAAAAAAAAATAATTAAAAATAATTTCACACGGTAAATTCCAACGTTACTAATACATTTTACTTTACAATAAATATCCTAATTGTTGTTGTTAAGTGCTGTCGAGTCGGTACCGACTCATAGCGACCCTGTATAGGGTTTTTCAATTAGCGTTTGGTGAGCTCAAACCATCTACCTTGTGGTTAAAAGCAACCTACAGTGCCACACCATGATCCAAATAGGACATGAAAATTGAGGATTTTCTCTGTTCCCAGAGTAGATGTAGAGTCACATTTTTCTATCTCTCTGACTAATTTTTCTTATTTAATAAAATGGAAATATTAGGACCTGTACTTCAAAAGGTTCTGGTATGGCACTGAAGGTTAATGTGCTGCACTGCAGAGTCGGTTTGAACTGTAAGGAAAGTGTTTCAAGCTCACCAGCCACGCCTCAAACACCCTATACAGGGTCTTTGTAAATTGGACCGACTCGATGACACTTACCAACAACAACATACATCAAAAGATAATCATTGTTGTTAAGTGCCTTCAATTCAGTTCCAACCCACAGAGACAAAAGACAGTAGTGAAGGTTAAATATATTAATATATGGAAAGTGTTAAGCTATAGTGTCTGACAACGGTAACTTCTAGGTGTAAAGATTTGATGCAATACCAGTTTTTGTTTCTTTTTCTTTTTAATAAAGACTAGAATGATTATCAGATAGTGTGCATATTGGGAAAGGGGTAAGGTATCTTTCATTTTTGAAAATTAGTCTATTGATCATCTTATTCAGTAAGTCTTAGGCACTCAACCACCGAACCCTCTCTTTCAGATCACTGTTTAAAGAAAGATAAGACTGTTGGTTTCAGCATTGCTGGTCATTTTTCTAACCAATGCAGCTAATAAATCACAGATGTTAATAGATGAAATTGCAACCTATTGTGCCATAAAATCAAGTTAGAGGGTCATTGTCCCAACAGGTTATTTTTTTTTTCGAATAAATACAATAGAATAGACATTTTGAGAAATATTGTAAAAGTACCTACTCTTAAGTGAGATTTTAATTACTTATGTGTATATGTGTTTCTGTAATACACAATGACATAAATAATATTTTAAACTATTTTATTAACTACAATACACATACAGAAAAATACTTAGTATTTTAAAACCATAATAAATTACTATAAAGTGAAACTCACAACCAAAAGCTTTATCAGAAATTCTTGGTGTCATCTGCTTAATGCTATTAATGATGACATCTGTCATTACTAAGAGAAAATGACTCTCCTCTTTTCCTTGTTTTTCTTTATATACACACCTAAGTATTTTTTTTCTAAATAATGTTAGTCTTGTCTATTTTTGAACTTTATACAAATAGTATGGTCTTAGCTTCTTTAACTCAATATTATATTTTTTCTATCTTGTTTGTATATGGTTGTATTCGTTTATTTTCATTGCTGTATAATATTCCATTGTTTGTCCATTTCTATTACTTTTGCGTTTTTCCAGTTTTTGGCTAGTGAAAAAATATTATGACTTCTGGTACATTTCCCACTGTACACATACAAAAGTTTTTTTGTGTTTCTAAGCATGGACTTATAGGATTATAGAATACTTTAAACTTTATTAAAAATGGAAACCTTTTTAAAAGGAATACTTATCAATTTTTCCCTTCCCTGTACTGTATAATAGTTCTCATTGTTCTTTATCATTGGCAACACTTCATAATGTCTGACTTTTTAAATTGTCAGTCTGGTAGATGTAGAAGTTATGTTTCATTCACTGGCATTACTAAGGTTGGGGTTACCCAGTGTGGGAGCTCACGGTGTCACTCCCTTCATGGATCGCCTCTCCAACTAGACTATACAGAGCCTGTAGTAGTGCTTGTTACCAACTTTAATCAGAGACTAATATGTGATCAATATATTTTAGGGAGCATGGTGGCTCGGTAAGATAAGCACTGGGCTGTAAACTATCCTTGGGCGAAGGATAAGGCTTTCTGCTCCCACAAAGATTTTATGGAAGTGAAACAAAACAAAACAAAACCCCTCAGAATGTTGAGAAGAAACAATGTGAGATTGAAAATGTTTTGTACTTTATAAGTGTCCACAGTTTTATTTTACTGACAGTATTATATAATTACAATAGTCTGAAAACACTCACATGATGAAATTAAACCATTTTCTCTTCAGGAAAACTTACATTTCGTGAGTCAACAGCTGCATACATGATATCCATCCATCCCTTAAATGTGGCCTGTAACAACAAAGTCACATTGTTTATTGTCCCTTCAAATTACAATTTTAGAAAAGAAATGAAGTACTAGATCAATTCACCAATATTCTCTCAATACAGGCCTCTGAAAAAGTTTGAGGTTAACATTAAAACTTTTGGGGCAATATTTTGTAATATGAATATAAGCATTAGAAGTACTTCAAATTTATACTTTTCTATAACATTCTTAAATGTATTTACATTGCAATTAACTATAAGAATACACTTATGGAAGTGATTTCCATGACTCTGACATGCCTATAAGAACACAATATACCATTTAATCAATTTCATGTATGTAATACTAGCATGAAACAAGTTGAACATTATACTATACAGTTTGATCTTACTGCTTTATTTTCTATTTGTTTATTTTTCTCTAAAGGACTATAGGAGTACTGCTGTGGTTCTGTGGGCTACTGCATCAGACTTCAAAGTCATTTGAACTGCAAGGTCGGTGGTTCAAGCTCACCAGCTGCTGCTTGGAAACTCTATACTGGGTCGCTATGGGTCGGAATCCACTTGACATCACTTAACAACAACAAAAGGACTATAAATAAACAGTATTACTACAAATCACCAATGATAATGATTTGTTCTTGAAAACCTCCTTAATATTGTTGAGCATGCTATTTTGAGGCATTATATTACATGAGAAAGGAGCTCTGGTAGCATAGTGGTTATGAATTGGGCTGCTAACCTCAAGGTCAGCAGCTCAAAACTACCAGCTGTTCCGAGGGAAAAAGATGAGGCTATCTGCTCCCGTAAAGATTTACAGTCTTGGAAACCCTGTACAAGGTCATTATGAGTTGGAACTGACTCCACGGCACACTACCACCACCACCATATTACATGAAAAAGCAGTTTCCTTAACAGAAAACAAACAGTATATTCAACGGAAGTTTATCACTTTTAAACATTTGTTTTCTATTGTGTGGGAAAGTAATCCTGAAAGCAATTGTCTTGTGAAATTTTTTTCAGTTCCTTAGGACTACAGACTTTGCCTTTCTCCCACTATTCAAATATTGTTGGGAATTGTCTACATGGATTCCCTACGGAAGTGTGTGGATATGGCTTAAAAATGTGGCCAGTTGAGGAGCTGAATGCATTTTTATAAACTTATAATAAAATAACAGTCTTACTAGCAAGGTTTTCATCTGTAAAAGAAAACTCTTCCTATTGAAAGGGTTCAACCAGCAAATAGGAATAAGGGAACTGATATGGGCCTCAGGGTAAGGGTTTTTTGTAATAGTAGTGGTGAAGGTTGAATGGGTAACTATTGTTTTTAGGTGCCTTTGATTTGACTCTGTTTCATAGCAACCCTCGGTTTAATTCAACAAAATGAAGCACTGCCTGGCTCTGTACCATCTTCAAAATTGTGGTTATGTTTGAGCCTATTGTGTGACGAGGGTTTAAACACTCTCGGTACCTGAGCAGGAATGCAAAAACCTACCTTTCTCTCCCTACAATGCCACCTCAGGTTTATTACCACTTCTTTACTCAGGATAGAAGTTGGGAGAAACCACGGAAAGTTCCATAGAAATTCTAGTAACAACACACGTACAATTGAGTACCTATGGGAGACTATAACTCTTACAGAGCAGTCATGTTTTCTCTCAGGGTTTGGAAACACAGTTTGGCAACTGAGAAAGGATCCGGGCAGATACACTCAAGGAATGCCTCACAGAGTTGAAAACCCCAGCTTCTGCTGGGAAAACAGGCAATAATTACAGAATCCCTAAAGGGGGATGGGATAGTGGGGCAGAAGTCTTGCAAGTCTGAAGAGGCTATCAGCTGAGTTAAGAAAAATATAGACTTTGATGCTGGACATTGTCCTTGGACATCATAAGACGACACTACATAAAAACTAAATGTCAAGCAAGACTACATGACATTGGTGGTCAGAATAAAAACAGAACATACACAGGGGCTAAATGTGATTCCAGGGCAATAGTTAGGAAAGTATAAGTCTATTTAGGAAGGAGACTAGAGTAAAGAGGAATATGAATTTGACCGAATAGATAACAAAAGCACAGACAAGAAGGAAATAAGTTACTATGAGTTAGTGAATATAATGTTTTCTGCACCTGGGCAGAAATGGGACCTGTTCTCATCAGGAAAATTCAGTTACAGACTAAAGTAACTCTTTGCAAATACTTAACAAGAAGAATTTCAGATTCGTTTTAATATTAGGTCCTACAGAATAATAAAGTGGTTACTTACGACTTGAAGCAGAGAAAGATATCCAAGTCCCACGTTATCAAAGTTTACTTTCACATTTTTCCACCTGGCAGTTTGATTGTTCTCTATAAGGGCTTTACATTCACTGTAGTTGTTGACCACACTTATATCAAACATCTCTCCAGTGGTAGTGTTAATACAATGGTAAAATTTGCCAGCAAAGAGATTCACTCCCATGATACTGAATATTAACCAAAAGATTAGACAAACCAAAAGTACATTCATTATGGATGGAATGGCTCCTAAAAGAGCATTTACAACAACCTGGCAAAGAAACGAGAAAGAAGATTCAATGAAAAGTCAATTACAGATATTTATCTTTTTGCCAATTTAAAATAATATAAAAAAACACTAAAATTAACTGATAGAAAATACATGTCTTTCAAGTTGAATATCAAGTAAAGATTAAACCTTGATAACTTGAACAGACAATTTTAAAGTGGTAGTTTAGAAGAGTAGAAATTAATTTTATTACTGTATTATGTTTTCTTAAGGAATAAGGATATACACATAGCAAATTTTCATCAAACAGTAAATTATTTATAGATGTAAAGCATGATCAAGGATATATGATATGCTTACAGAGGTAACGTCATCCTGTAAAAAAAAAGTTTAAATCATGCAAACTGTACAATTTACTATCCAAAGCTTGAGAGTAAAGGAGAGTACTTGTGAGATCGTTTTCAGACTGAAAGAGAACCTTAATAATAATTATCCTCAGAGATCTTCCAAGGCAAATACAGAGTAGGATCACCATATATTCAAAGGCATATATTAGCTGCATGCCTCTGGGGATATTGCTTAACTTTTCTGACTCTAAGAGTACTAATTTGTGAAACCCCTTTCAAAATAAAGTTTTTAATTGAAAGACCACAATAATTTTATAATTGGTTATGACTGGCTATATTCCATAAACCATCATAACTTGAGTCCAAGGATTTTCCCTGATAGCTTTGGTATTTGAAGCTTTCTCCATTAATCAGGGCATTTTAAAGAACCGTTTCCAGTATATTTCTTAAATTATCCATGAAATCAATATTTAGCAAAATGTACACATTCACCTAAACTACAACAGATATAAACATGATAAAGGAATAGAGATGCAAAAGGTGAGAAATATATGCATAATCTTCCTCAAATCCCTTATGGTATATAAAGACATATACAGATATATAGATGATATAGAGCTTTTCCATCTTTTCTCTTCATAGATGTAGTCAATTTTATTTTGT